CGGCTCACGTAGATAATCTGCATGCAAATAAAATCAGGTAGAGGTAGAGGTCAGAGTGAGCCTACGAGCCATAATACGTCACGCGCTACGCTCCTACAGATGTGATAGCGATAGTGCGTTATTTTTTCTCTTAATAATATCATTTTATCTTAATAACACAATCTACGACTGATAATGTAGAGTTGATTTGCAGTTGATGTGTGTTGCACTAAATCGTATTTTAGCGAGTGCGAGAGGTTCACTCGTGTTGCAGACAGATCGGAAGAGATCAAGGATCAGATCCACGTTTACGTCGACGCGTGGTAGTAATTCGCCTGGAAACGCTGGCAGTAGATTCAAGATTCAAGATTCAAAGTAGAGATGTTCTTTTTGTTTGTTTTGTTCATCAACCCCTCCGTCACCCACCTTCTCCCGTAAATAGCCGCTATTGTCATCATGTCACCTACTAACGACCGCCGGCGCCGCGCGCTACGGACGGTGTTCGGGGGGGGGGGAGACGTTCACGCTGCTACCTTGCACTTCTTCTTTCTGGCCTCTTGTGGGAGGCGTTCTCCACGGATAGTGCGTTTTGAATATTCGTGGCGACTCCATCTCTCTCGCGGCACATATCTGTTCCCCGGCCAACTGCAACGTAGAACACACACACGCACATAGACTCTGATTGTGAGCGCTGTGGAACGTGGATTCTGCACATGGGCTATTACATGTGAAAAGGACCGGCATAATCACAGGCCCTGATGCAGATATACAGAGTCATTCTTTTGTCGGATGAGTGTTGACATTCTAGTTGGATGTTACCCCTCACTGGATATCTGATGAGGCGTACGTGCACATGCTCACGCGTGAGCGCACGCATACACGACCGCACGCACGCACACGCATGCACGCACACACACACACACACACACACACACACGCGCGCCGCGCGCGCGCACGAATACACGCACGCACACACACACGCACGCACGCACACACGCACGCACGCACGCACGCACGCACACACACACACACACATGCATACACGCACACACTCACACACTCACAAACGCACGCCGCGCCGCACACACGCACTCATATATACATATAGCCACTGTAGCGATCTCAGGCATGGCGTTCATCAAACTTTCTTCCCTGTCTCGACTTCGGGTCGGCATCGTGTAGAACGAGCCAGGTTATCTCCTGCGCGAACGTAGTTTCCTGCGCCGAGTCATAAGGTTAATGCTGAAACGATGCCCTAGCGGTCGCGGTGGGGGAATAACATCCGTGTAGAATTTACACACAACTACTACTCAGTACTGTCCGGGCGCCTTCACTAATGCGTATGCAATTGTAGTATCGAGTCTATCGACAAGGGAAATCAAATATATATTATTTTATTTATACATATCAGCCCTTTTTACCTCGGCTTTTTTTTCTTCAGCCCCTGCAACGGAGCGTCACGTGCGCGCGTGTTCTAACACAACAACAACACACAATAGCGTTTGTAGCAAGATAGCTACATCTATACTAACTATATACTAGCGTTTGTAGCTAGATAGCTACACCTATACTAACTATATACTAGCGTTTGTAGCTAGATAGCTACATCTATACTAACTATATACTAGCGTTTGTAACTAGATAGCTACACCTATACTAACTATATACTAGCGTTTGTAACAAGATATAGCTACACCTATACTAACTATATACTAGCGTTTGTAACAAGATATAGCTACACCTATACTAACTATATACTAGCGTTTGTAGCTAGATAGCTACATCTATACTAACTATGCTAGCGTTTGTAGCTAGATAGCTACATCTATACTAACTATATACTAGCGTTTGTAGCTAGATAGCTACATCTATACTAACTATATACTAGCGTTTGTAGCAAGATATAGCTACATCTATACTAACTATATACTAGCGTTTGTAGCTAGATATAGCTACATCTATACTAACTATATACTAGCGTTTGTAGCTAGATAGCTACATCTATACTAACTATATACTAGCGTTTGTAGCTAGATAGCTACATCTATACTAACTAGTCTATACTAGCGTTTGTGGGGTCAGGTGAGTTTTCGGGGTATCAATTAAGAGACGTCTGCGATGAACTAAGACATTATTTTTAGTTATTTTTTAGTAGAGATAGTATGAATACCGCTGTCACGAACAAGATTAGTCTAAATAGTATTCTCAGCGTTAATCTTTTAGACCGGCCCTATATACATTGCGTATAAAAAAAACTAGCATATATGTTCCTGTCAACGGGCTATGGGAAAGGGTTAATGTTAAGACTAATTTTGTTTCTGTTTAGAGTGATAAAATCATTTGCTTGTATAGTGGTCCTGGCGTTGGTCGTTACGAGGCCACAAGTGTTAACTCGTCCTATGTACTTGTTTCAGTTATCACTTCCTTCTGTTAGTCCGAACGGAACACGCACGCACGCACACACGCACGCACGCACGCACGCGCGCACAACACAGCTGAGTTGGCGTTAACTTTCTGCGCATTTCCGATTCGCTGTCAGCCGTTGCCATGGCATCGAAGGAAAGCAGCCAGACTCCGTCGGAAGGCGAGAATGATTTCATCATCGACATCGTTACGTTCAAGGGAATCAAATTCCTCTCGAACGAATGTGCCGACGACCCCGCCAAAATCGAGAACATGAAATTGCCGCGACGACTACATGTGTTCGTGCTACGGTTCCCCAATGACGGTGAGCGCTGGCGATGCGCGTTTAGAGGACGCGCGAGCATAGTAGTAGTTGTTGTTGTGTGTGCAGTGGCGTAGCTAGGGATTTTTCAGAGCGGTGGCGAAGGGCTTACATTTTCGGGGGGGGGGGCACCAATATATAATTTTACTGAGATGTGGTTCGGAACCCTCTTCTCTTTGTATTATACTGTTCTAACCGCGCATTGTTTGAATCTTCAATTTTTTTGATCAAGCATTGAATTTTCAGTGGGGGGGGACCTGGGGTGTGCCACCAGAACAAATTTGTGGGGGCGGGGTCACGTGGCCCCCCAGGCCCTCCCGTAGCCTACGCCCTGGTTGTGCTGCTTGCTGTTATAGTTGTGCCGGTTGTAGTTTTGTAGTAGTAGTTGTAGTATGTTGTAGTAGATAGTTGTTTTGTGTGTTGCTGTTGTTGTGGGTTTCGTAGTTGTATCAAAATGTTGTAGTAGTAGTTGTTGTATGTTGTAGTAGTAGTTGTTGTTGTGTGTGGCTGTTGTTTCTATTAGAGTTGTTTTGCTGGTTCTGCTTGGAGTGTTATAGTAGTTGTAGTAGATGTTGGTTTTGTGTGTTGCTGTTGTCGCCTTTGTAGTATCTGTTGTAGTAGTTACTGTTGTAGTAGTTGTTGCTGTGTTGTTGTTGTGTTAGAACACGCGCACGTGACGGCTCGTTGCAGGCTGAAGAAAAAAAAAGCCGAGGGTAAAGAAGGGCTGATATGTATAAATAAATAATATATATACTTGATTTCCCTTGTCGATAGACTCAGATACTAGCCAATGCATACGCAATTTAGAGAAGCCGCCGCCGACAGTTACTGAGTAGTAGTTGTGTAGTAAATTTACACTGTTATTCCACCCACGGCGACCTTAGGGCATCGATTCAGCATTTAACCTTGGACTACGGCAGACAGGAAACTACGTTCGCGCTAGGGAGATAACCTGGCTCGTTACTACACGATGCCGACCCGAAGTCGGAGACAGGGCAGATAAGGGTTTGATGACGCATTGCCTGAGATCGGCTACAGGTGGCTATAGTATATTCATGAGGTGTGTGCGGATGTGCGTAGCCGGCGTGCGTTTGTGAGTGTTGCGTGTATGGCATGGCTTGTGCCTACTGTGGTGTGTGTGTGTGTGTGTGGTGTGTGCGTTGCGTGCGTGCGTAGCGTGCCGGCGGGCGTGCGTCGTGCGTGTGTGCCTGTCGGTGTGCGCTGCGTGTCATTCGTCGCGCGCGCGCGCGTGCGCTCGTGTGTGCGTGAGTGTGAGCCTGTTGGCCGCAGGGCTGTGCTGTGTGTGCCGTCATTGAGTGTGCGTGCGCGTCGTGTATTGCGTGCGCCTCACGCTGAGCGATGTGCACATACGCCCTCATCAGTATCCAGTGAGGGTTGCAACATCCAACTAGAATGTCCCACAACTCATCGAACAAAGAATGAACTCTGTATACTCTGCATCAGCGGGCCACAGGCAGAACTCCACGTTCCACAGCGCTCACAATCAGGAGTCTATGTGCGTGTGTGTGTCTACGTTTGCAGTTCGGCCGGGGCGGAAGAGTATGTGTGCCCGCAGAGACGAGATGCGAGGTCGCCACGAATATTCAAAACGCATATCCATGGAGACACGTCCCCGCAAAGAGCGCCAGAGAGAAGAAGTGCAAGGTAGCAACCGTGAACGATCCCCTCTCTCCCCGAACACCCGCTTCCGTCAGCGGGGCGGGCGGGCGGCGTTAGTGGCGGCTGACATCCCGATGACAATAGCGTGGCTATTTTACCTGGAGACAGGCTCGGTGACGGAGCGTGCATGAAACAAAAGCAAACAAAAAGAACCATCTATCTACTTTGACTCTTAAATCTTGAATTCCTCACTGCCAGCGGTTTCCCAGCGGCACTCTAGGCCTACTCCAACGCGTTGCGACGTCACGCCTGGGACATCGGATCCTTGTCTGCTTCAACATCTGAGTGGTTGGTAGTGTGTGTGTTTTTGT